ACATCCAGCTTACGCAACTGCGGCGTGTTCAAGAACTTATTGACCACGCCCTCCTGGCTTGCAGCTGTAGGCATCTGTTTGGGCATTACTCCTGTGCCGGCCATAGTCGCTGTTGCTGTCGCATTTTCCTGTGCACGCGACGGCAATGTTGTTGGCGTGGTTTTGGAGCTGTCCGTTGTCGACGCCGTCGCATGGCGAGACCAGCTGTAATGCTGCTTACGATACTGCGGCGTATAGGAATTGAAGCTACCAAACACTGGCGTATCGTCGGTGTCATCGGTATCGTCGCCGGCCAAATCGTGATTGTAGCGATCCATGCGTGCTAATGAAGTGAGGACAAGTAATTAATATACTATGAAAGGAACAAAGCTCTAGAATACAGAAGCAATCAACTCACTATCAAAGTAGCTGGTATCATCCTCGTGCGACAGCTGCGGCACAAACTCTGCCTTTTGGCGGAGCAGCGAGTTCCAATCCATGCCCTGGAAATAAACGTGCTCCTTCACTTCCAGAGCACCAATCTGACTGCCTAAGCGATCCCGCGGATTCTGCTGCAGCAACTGTGATATTATATCCTTTGCCTCCGCCTGCACGGGCCAATCCTCGCTGTCCGGCCACTCGATGTCATCGTTGACGGTGTGCGCAAACAGCTCCTCGGCGGTCTCGCCGAAGAACGGCACACAGCCAATGAGAAACTCATACAATATTATGCCCATGGACCACCAGTCGACGGGCTTGCCATAGCCCTGTCGCAAAATTACCTCAGGTGCTATATACTCTGGAGTGCCATAGACCTGCAGAGGAGGAGAATAGCTTTAAATATCTGTCAATATATATGTATTTGTGAATCTGCATATACCTGCTTATCGGAAAATTGTCGCGTCTCTGAATCAATATAGCCTTCATACAGATTGGTGGCCAGCGACATAAGACCCATTTTGGAGAGTCCGAAATCGGTGAGCTTAATGTGACCAAGGGCCGTGATTAATAAGTTGTCCGGTTTGAGATCTCGATGGACAATGCCATAGCTATGCAGATACTCCACGGCTAATACTGTTTCGGCGAAATAAAAGCGCGCCATGTCAGCGGGCAGCGGGCCAATGTTCTTGAGCAACGTGCCACAGTCACCGCCCTCCACGTACTCCATGACCAGGCAGAGATGCTTCTTGGTCTCAAAGGAGCAGTACATGCTAACCACAAAAGGATTGTCGGCAAACGACAGTATGTCACGCTCGGCGAACACCTGCTCCACCTGATTGCGCAATATGAGATTATTCTTGTTGATCTTCTTCATTGCGAAGCGCTGGCGCGTTGTCTTGTGCTTAACCAGRTAGACGGCGCCATAGGCACCATTTGAGATCAGCTTGGCAATTTCGAAGTCGTTTTCATGCGGCAGCGGTTGTTGTTGTTGCTGCTGCTGCTGCTGCAGTTGTTGTTGTTGTTGCTGCTGCTGCTGTTGTGCAGCAGTTGTCTCTGCAGTAGCTGCTGGCGTGTTCAGCTGGCTAATGGACAATGCAAAGCTGGGCGTCGGTTGGTTATCACAGCCTACCGGCGTCTGTGGCGGCTGCTGCGGTAATTTCGGTTGTGGCGTACAGGTGCCACTGCCACCCGAATTACCTGTCTCCAATGTTACGCCGTCCAATGTGAGATTGCTCAGCTGCTTGGCCGCACAGGTCAAGGGTGAGTTGAGGAGCAGTGCACCGGCAGCTGGCTGCGTATCGAGCAACTTGTCTCCGCCAGCCGTCACCTGCTCCGAGCACATTTGCTGCGTCTCGCGCAGCTCTTGCTGCAGTTCCGCAATGGGATCACGATTGAGGCCGAGCTTGTGTATAATGTACTGCGGTATATCCGCCTTAATGACAGGCATGGCCTTCGCATGGCCCTCGGCTGCCTCGAGCAGCTCGTAAAACTCTTGCGGATCGAATTCGAGACATTCCAACAAACGCGCTGGCCGCGATATGATCAACAGCAACTTTTTGATAACGCCACTCAACTCGGCAGCCGCCTCCGGGGACTTCTCCTTGGTCTCCAGYAACAGACGCTCCAGATTCTCGCTCAGCTCGTAGAAGTACTGTGACGTAATCAACTTAGCCTCCGATTTGTGCAGACAATCCCGAGCCATTTCCAACACTTGATGGTGTACAAAGCTACAAAAATGTAAACAAATAATATTTCTGACATTTATTAAATTGTTAAATCAAATAAAAACCTACCGCACAATGGGCTGAGAGTCACGAAAACTATTGCACGCAAGACTTTTGTTCTCGTTGATGAAGTGCTTCAGACGCTCCTCCATTTGCTGGGTGGCCTTGGGGAAGCGTTCCTTATACAGCGTATTCATCACAGCTATCTCATTGTCCACAATGGGCGAACGGGATGGACTGGACAGCGAACGTGAGCGTGGCCGAAAACAGGGCGACATGCGACCGCTCGGCATTGACGCGGTCGATGCATTAGCTGCATTAGCGGCGTTAGCATTGGCATTAGCATTGCCGCTGCAGGCGACGCTCAAATCGGCGCAACAGTTAATGCATGCGATCGGTGGTTTCAATGGCTGTGGCTGCAGCTGTGCGAGCTTTGGTGCATGCTGCGGCTGCTGCTGCTGTTGTTGYGGCTTATGCGCAGCGAGCAACAATGCACAATGCTTAGGGCAATGCTGCTTCAAGTGTTCCGCACAGCAGGCACCAGCTGCCACTGCGGCTGCATCCTCGTGACCAGGCGGCAAATTGTGCGGCAAATGATTTAACGCCTCCTGACTGGAGCATTGCGACTACACAGGAAAACGAATGGCATGAGGCTATTTAATTAATAACATCGAATTCGATATTTACCGATAAATTAGAGCTGCCTGGCGTTGTGCCATAGCCGGAGGACGGCAACGATGCCACCGACCAACGTCTGCCATCGGCAACGCCGCGACAAGAGGCGATGCGTTTGATGGGCGCAAATGCGAACGGCATGGGCGAATTGAGGCGCGGACTATCCGCCGGGCTAGCCGAATATGGCGAATGGGCGCGTGAGCTACCAGCCATGGCAGCAGCATTGGTGACCAGACTCAASCGATGATGAGCCACACCGCTCGATCCACTGCTGCCAGCACCCGAAGTGGAGCCGCGCATGACCACGCCATGCAAATGATGGTGCTTGGACAGGGCAATGCCACTGCCAGAGCGTGAGATATTCAGACCAGGAGCTGTTGAATTCATACMCCCCGCGCCTCCTGCGGCGGCGGACACTGCTCCAACACCTGGACCACCGCAGCTGAGTTCATGGCGAAAGTAATTACCAGTCAGGCATGGCGCAGATTTGCCCAGCGAGGAATGGCGCATACGCAACAAATTAGACGCTTCTATAAAACCCAAATTATAATATTAATGAGCTATAGGGGAGCTTGGGAAAGGGGGAGACAACTCTTACCGCTGCCGGCAGCCCGAAGGGAGTTCGTATGCTGCTGATAGGAGATCTTGCGCAGCAGCGCCGTATAGCCGCGCGAGTGTAGCGAGCTAGAGCTGCCCGAGAGGCCGCCCGACGAGCTTTTGGTTAAATTGAGATTGCGTATTAGTGAGGAGCCATTATTGCTGTTGCTATTGTTGTTGCTATTGCTGTTGCTGTTGTTGTTGCTGTTGCTGTTGGTGGTGCTGTCATTGCAATTGGCACCCAGCTTGGCCGGCGAGGCAGGCAGCAATTCAACGCCGCTGCTGGCATCGGCGGTGTTGGTCGAATGAGCGTGCG